GGCGGCGGCAGCAGCAGGTGGCGGCGGTGCCCAGCCGCCCGCCGGAACGCGGCCAGCGCCACCCGGCTCTGCCCGTCGGGGCCGGGCTCCTGGAGGGCTACATCAGCGTCCTGGAGCACAAGGTGAGCCACCGGCCGCGGGACCGGCACCCCGCGCTGCCCCGGCCTCCCTCGGGAGGCTCCGACCCCGAGCCTGCCGAGCTCTCCCTTGTGCCCCCCGTGACATGCCCCGTTCCCCTCGGCGTGCCCTGCCTGCCTCGCTGTCGAGGCTGGCTGAAGCGGCCTCCGGGTGCCATCGCGCCTGGCCAGGAGGCAGGAATTACCGGGGTCAGAGCCGGGCTCCAGCCCGAGGTTGGGTGTTTGTGCCGCTGCTGCTCTTCTCCCTCGCACAGCAGAAGCGGGGGAAGGGTGAAGTGCTATGTTTGTAATGCTGTATGCTCTAGGTACAGTACAAATGTATGTTTATGATGATATTATTAAGGGTTAAAGAATGAGGTTTATTTACTCGAGGGCAAAGTCAATAGGTAGGTGTTTATTCTTAGCTAATTTTGTCATAGGAAAAATAAATGTCTCCTGCACAAATGACCTTTTCATCTCCCTTCTGGGAAGCAGAAGTTGTCACCTGTAGTTTCCACTCTAGAAATTGGGGGCACTTCCTTCATGGTGAACAAAACTATGTCCCTCCCCTTGACAGAGGAATTACCAGGCTGTATTGTCAGACTATAAGACTTGTTTACCAGAGATAGGCAGACTAAGCTTTGATAACTCACAGGACAGATGTAGTGACATAAAGTGAGCAAGGTGGCACATCCATGCCAGAGAAATAATCAAGCTTCAGTAATTTTCTCAGAAGGCAGTTTCCTCTGCTTTTTGGATGGGGTTTGTTACTTTCACCGGAAATTTCAAGGTCTTCCTCTTCCAAAACCCCAGATATTGTTTAGTGCACACACATCTTACAGTAAAAATTTACTTTAGAAAATAAGCAAGAGAAATGAGGATTCACAACTTTCTTAGGTTTTCACATCCAGACTGACAACCTTCTGAAAGATATGTTGTCAAATGAGTTACTGGGCTCAGTTTAGAGGTACTGTGTGAAGACTAGTGACTTTGATATACAGAGATTTTTATTGTTCCTTCTGGCATAACTTTCTATGCAAGAGTTATCTGTAGGCCTCTTAACACAGAAAAATAGCACATGATGGTGCCTTGTAGGCTTTATTTGCTTTCTTACATGGTTGTCCTGGAAATTCTCAAATGTAATGTCTATAGAAAAAGCAAGTTTGGCCTTGGGCTTCCTACTGTCTGATGTGCACTCTTGTAATTCTTTTGTTCTTCTTGAACATGACTGTAGTGATAGGTGTGGATATATGTGCACATGGTTTTTATATGCAGCAGTAATCAAAAAGACTTCTGTGGGTTTTATGGGATGCATGTGTGAGTAGCCTTCTAGTTTTGATAACACCTCATACTGGTTTCTCCAGAAACAAACAGCTCTCATTAACAGGCCATACTTAAAATCACTGTTCTATTATTTTCCAGGGTAATTTTAATGTTTCCCTGTGTTTTGGAGAAAGGTGATCCTTTGGCTTTTTAATATATTGTAATATAGCCCAAACACCACAGATACTTCATTTCTGAATTTCATTTCACACAGCTCATGCCTCACAGTAATAATCTGCTGAAGGTTTAATAACTTTTCCACCTAACTTCTGTGGGTCAAAAAGAATATTCTGCTATCCCTGCTGTGTTCCCAGCTTGCTTTGTCTTATTTTAATGCACATGAGATCATGCAGAGAGCTGTGCCATTATGGTATACAGAGCAGTGGGGACACTGCATTACCCTAAAGGAGAAAAGGACTTTTGTCTCTTAATGATGTATTTATTTTTGTAATTTAATTTGGTAGTCCATGTACTTGTCATGGATTTACAATCCCAGAATACATAGGTTTCATGCATAATAAAAAATAGAGAATACAAAAAATCGCAGGAATTCATGGTTTGGAAAAAGAAGGGTGCAGGATTGGTGATGGTAAGAATAGGGAGAGAGATAGCAAGAACTGAGGAATGGTGAAACACGTTCAGAGAACATGTGGTTTGGGTGGGACACTGCAAACTGCAGGGAAGACAGCCTGAATAGCAAGTGAAATGAGGGAATTGGGGAGGTTTTCAAGAATGTGAAGAGAGCTGCAAGAAGAGAGCAAGGTAAAATTCTGTAGCTGTGAAAGGGACATGATATTTGAAGAGACTGGGAGGTCTGGAAGGAGATGGGAGGTATGTGTTGTTTGAGAACAACAGGCTTGCGAAGGTAAGGCAGGAATGAGTTCAGCAATGGTACATGTTATTTTGATAGAACAGAGGTGATGGTGTGAAATGACAATGAATGGTAGATTTTTCACCGTATAGCTTCCTTAATTTCCCATATAGAATCTTGGAATTATCTGTCAGGTTGAATGACCTGAAGCTGAATGACCATTATACAAAATTCATCCTTGGTATGTGTTCACGCATGAATGACAGATAGCAGTAGACTGAATGTCTGGATCATTCTTGTGCTTGTTTCTGGATCCCATAATTTGCTTTAACAGGAAAATCTCCTTTCGTGTTCATGTATGGGTACAACATGGTATTGTACCTACTCTGGTGCATTTAATGAAAGTAAGTCTGCACATCTTTGTAGAGGCTGTATGACAGTTTCTGAAGTTATTAATCCATAATCACAGTGCGAGTATTGACACACAAGCTGTGTAAGTATGTGGAAGTAAAGATGTTTCTCTTCAGGGATAAAATTCAACAATTGTTCTAGTTGTGAAATATCATGTATGACAAATGTCTGTCGCTACTAGCAATACCCCTCATTCAGTGGTGCTGGATGATCATGTATGGAGACTATTTGCCAGAAAATCTGGGCACTTAGTACTAAGTAACAATGATTTTTAAATATAGCCTGCAATATTGTAATTACCAATTATTTTTCTCGTTTTATTTTATATTCAGTTGGAATTGTAGCTCCTCATCCATACTGTCAAGATAAGCAGGCAGTCTCTGAGAATACAGTAAAAGATGTCTTTTTTTTTTTAATGTGTTGAAGAGGTTTTTTGCAGGACTTTCTAGTCTTTTCCTTCATAATTTCTGCAAGCCCATTTTTCCAAGAGTCAAGCATCAGAGATCAGAACCCCTGCACTTAGCTTTAGTAGCCTTCCACAGTTTAGCAGTGCGTACTTAATTTTTGTTGAGCTGAATTCTTGGAGCAAAAAAAAAATTAGAAATGCTGTGAATTCAGAGATGAAAATGGATTCTTGTCATTTCACCTCTGCTTGTCCCAGAGCAACAGCAGTTGACATTGTTGATGGATGTTTAAAATGAATAAATGGTATCTCTTTTTGTTCCCGATTGCCAGATGTTGTATCCTAAAAAAAAATCTCTCATTTTGAACAGAAAATATGGTTTGCTGATAGCTATTATTGAGAGGTCAAGGACTGAAAGTGAAGAAGTGGTGGCTTCTACTTTGAGGAGCTGTTGCTTCCTCCAGAGGCACATTGAGTGTAGCACTGCTTAGCTACTGCATCTGCTCTGCAGTTAGAAAGGACAGGACTACACTGTCAAAGCGACATCTTTCATTACTTCTTTGAGTGGTATACTGAAATTAAAGAGGTTTTGTCACTGGCATTGAGGGAAGCAGAATCATACTCTTCTGTGAGGAGGAATGGGGATAAGCCTTTCTGTTGATTTATCATACTGCTAGCAAGAAATTACAATGCTAATATTTTTAAAGCAATTACTGCATACAAATAAGAGAATGTTAATGAAAGTAGGAAATGTAGCACTATCCCAGAACTTGCAAGAAATAAATATTTAACCATTGTATTATGATTCTGAGGTGTATGTGAGAACATGTCTCTGGATAGTTAAAAAGCTTTTTACCCAGTATTGACTCAACAGTTGGTGCTGCAAATAAAATATGAGTTTGTCACATATGTAATTGAATAATATTTCAAGCCATCAAGGATTTTGTTTCTTAGAAAATAAAAAAAAATTAAAATCAATCCTGCAGTCAAAATGTATGATTTATTAGAAACACTTTAAAATACCTTAAGAGCGAATTGAGATCAACATGATAATTTAAGTGATCACCATGATTTCTTAATTTATGATAATGTGAGTTATCATATGCAAAGAAATCTTGGTGATCCCTCTAAATTAATGCAGATCAGAGAATAGTGTAGTTAATGAAGTGTTTGAGGAAGAGTCATTCCGCAAATAGTGCTGCTATAGCTCCTTAATCTCTGAGTTGCAAAAAGTTGCTCTTGGATGAAACTAATTTTTTTTAGGATAATAAACTTTGTGCACTTAAAATCAGGTGGGAATCTTGCCATATTTTATATTATTTTTAGTAATTATTAAGTCAAATGAGTTTGGAATTTGAATTTTTGCCTCATTAAACCATTGACGTTTGGGGCTGAATAGTTTTGAGGGGCTTCACTAAACCAGCCTTCATAATTAAACATATACCATGATTTCATGACATGTTCCTAATTTGCCCCTGAAATTCTTACCTGCAAAGGAAGGAACACAAACTTTATTATGCAATTAAGGATTTGATGGAGTTTTTATTATGTGAGAGATCCACAAGGGGGAGACTTTATTCTAGAATAACCTTGTTGGGGACACTTCCATCTGTCAGAGACCTAGGCAAGTTGGGAGTCCAAAATGCCCTTTGCTCAGTGCTCTCTTGGCTTCCTGGCTTTTTATATTTTTAGGTACCACAGTTCTCTGCCACTGATAAGCTGTAGGTTTATTTAAATCCTTTTAAAGTTGGCATATTAAAATAAATTAAAAAAAAAAATACCATGGCAGTCAGGGAATGTAACTGAATATCCACACACAGAGAGCAGAGACAATTGTTCTTCCAGATTTAGCCAGCTTTTGAATAATAACTGTCCTGTGTTTTACAGTTTCTTAATTTTGAGCTACTTCATTAGTGTGCTTTTTCAGGCTAACTTTCATTTTGATGATCCTTGTCTAAAATTTTTAGCAGTTTCTGTGTGCTCTAGCTACTCACACAGAGCAATACAGAGCTCACAGCAATGACAGCAAATTATGGCATGTTTTCCTGTTTTCCAGGT